GGGCGGGTGGAGAGGATGAAGGGCAAGGTCTCTGGAAGTGGTAGAGATATCAGATGCTGTCAGAGCAGGGGTTGGATAAAGGAACAGTAATTATGAAGTAACTCTCAAAAGACAAACCACTGAGCCTATGGAAGGAAGGAAGGGAAAGGGAATGATGGTGAGAAGGATGCCCCAATTCTGCCCATGGCTGTGTTCACTGACTAGGAATTTTCCTTCTTCAGGTAGCGGGACCCCAATCCTGACTCTGGTTCTCTTTTCTACAGGTGATCCTCCCTACAGAGGCGCTGGGCTAGGAGTGTCCCTCTGTAGGAGCAGGTCCATAGTGATCGGGAAGGTGCCAAGGAAGATGACCGATATTGAGAAATGCCCTGGGTCCTACTTTGCTCAATTCCCTCCGTTTTACTGGCAGCTCTTGTACAGGTGGCAGGGCCTCTTCTGGGCAGAGAAAAACATGCTTAGGGCTTTTCTCCATCCGATTTTTTTTTAAGTCATCTATCTGTCCTGACATGGAAAAAGGTTCAGGAAATAGTAAGTGAAAGATAAACTTTTAAAGTTGCCGAACAGAGTACATAATGTAATGCCATCTTTGGGGAGAAAAATGGTTTAGTTCTCTGCAGTTGGACTAATGTTTGGGAAGAAAAGCACTGGTCAATCTTATGGGATATCCATGGAGAAGAAGAACTTACATTCTTTATTTTATTCACTTCGATATTATTTCATCTGTTTAACACTTTAAAATATATTTTCTCTAAGTAGATCTCATCTCTCTAAAAGTCTTTCACAGCTATGAAACTATGGGATTTCTCTCTATCTGACTCTCTGCTCATCTCTGTGGACAAAACAAGGAATATATAACCATTACCCTCAAGAAGTGGAGAAGGGGGAGTGCGGAGTGCTTCAGGCAGCAGCCAACATGAGCAGGAAGTGTTCCTAAGCAGAGAAGGGTATTATGGGTTCAAGAAAGTGTGCAGGGGACCCCTGTTTGGAGCACAAGGTGGCTCAGGGTGACCAGGACAAGAAAATGTTTACAAGTAGCATGGAGCCAGCTTGAATGATCTTGACTCCCAGGCTTAGAAATTGTATCTTTATTTTGAAGGCAATACGTGGGTGACAAAGAGAGCACCGATAATTTTATGAATCAGGTTAGTGGGGCTCCATCCTGAGAGGCTAGTCAGCTGTAAGAGCATGGAACCAATCAGATAATTAGCAGTTTAAACACTGAAAGTGCATATTCTAGAAATGATTCTACTTGCATTGAGAGTAACCTAATGTATTGAGGATTTTACTATTCTATGAATTAAAAGCAAGATCCTTATGAAAGAAACAAACAATCTTTAGGACACAATTTGCAATCCTGAATGAGTACTCTATGAAAATAGTCCAATGTTCTGACCTCATATCCCTCTACGGCTACCTGATTAGTTGCTAGGGAAGAGGAACAATGAAAATATGAGAAACATGGAAGGTTCTGGTGTCCTTGCATCACGACAAAGTTAGCCCAGCTTCCCTGCTCTGACCCTGAGACTTCTGCCTCTAGTTTCCCTCGCTGCTCTTGGATGTTTCCTTCATTTTGACTCTTCACTGTGTGCTGGTGTGTTGCACACTGACAACTGTGTGCTCTTCCCTCTTCCAACATCCAAGGCCCTGGCTAGCCTTATCAGCCTCACCTCTCATCTCTCTTAAGCACATGAGTGTTCTTTCCCCCAGTTAGTGCTGAGTGGGGTGGCTGCTATCTGCTGTGCTTGTGTCCTGGGGCCCTCACCTGACACCTAGGGTGATAGGAAGCAGATTATTCCTCGCTGTGGGAAGAGAACATCCCTTCTCTTACATCTCAGTGCTTATCAGCCGTGGGCAAACTACGGCCCGCGGGCCGGATCCGGCCCCTTTGAAATGAATAAAACTAAAAAAAAAAAAAGACTGTACCCTTTTATGTAATGATGTTTACTTTGAATTTATATTAGTTCACACAAACACCCCATCCATGCTTTTGTTCCGGCCCTCCGGTCCAGTTTAAGAACCCATTGTGGCCCTCGAGTCAAAAAGTTTGCCCACCCCTGGCTTAGATCCTTGAAGTAGAAAAGTGCCCAGGACATGCTTGTTTGTGGGGGTTGGATTGAGAAAAGGGATCCTGACAGGATGTAGATGTCATAGGTAGAAGGTTGGTTAGGTCTCTACAAGAAAATACAAAATTTGACATTACCAATGGAAATTAACTATAGCTCAGAATCCTATTCGGTAACTAGCCACAAGACTAAAGTATATACTCATGAATGTCAGTTAATTTATTCATTTCCTTTCCCTGCTCCAAATCAGAAAATGTATCTCCTGAACATCAATGGATAAACCTGTCAATATCTTATTTTGTAATCTCGCTCAGAACTGACCCCACACTTCTGTGGATCATCACACTCACACACTCTATCTTTTACATATAAGTGCTCAGATTTAGCAAAATGAAATGTATTCCCTTTAATAAGAAGCTCTTACCTCTCATATCTGCCTTGGGGTTTGTATGGAACCCATCTGATTATAGTTTGAGTTCTGAAACATTGTAGTTGTTAAATCTCTTGGTCCACTCGGATGGGTGTTAGCCACATACACTGTATGTGGATGTTACTAGTTTAGCTGTCAGGGCCCCATCTTATTCACAAGTTCTTGGGTGAGGCACCCTCTGTGTCATTTTTAGTGGCACAGTTTGTACCTGGCCCTGAAGGGGGAGGAGTGAGCACTGCTGTTCCAAGTCTCCTCACCTGAATACAGGTGTTTGGGGTTTGTTTGTTTGTTTACCACCTTCCCTGCTGCCAGAGAGCGGCTGCCCCCTGCCCTGGCACAGTTGGTTTTGTCAGACTAAATAAGTTCCAGCTCTTTTGGAAGCAGGGTTATCTCCCTCTGTTCAAATTCCTCACCCTCAGCCCAGAGCCTGGCCAGTCAGGTGAAGCTCAAAGGGTGATGCAGAAATTGGACAGTGTTCCTTTAAGGCGGGTATCCAGGAGGGGAGCCTGGGTACTGCTAGAGGCAAGGACCAAAAAGTGGTTTAGCATGTAGATGCGAGAAGTCTGTCAGAAGGCTGATGGACTTTGATATTGAGCAAAGGCTGAGAATCAGCATATTATTACCTGCTGTTGGCTGAATGGCTGAAGGCAATCCCATAAAGCTAATAATCTTTTCTTGTTTACCAAACCTTACCATTGATGTCTGCTTGCTTTGCTAAAGGGCAAATGTATATTCTAGTAAATAAAAAGCAATGGGTCCGGACATTCAGGGAGCCATTCCCTAGAGAAGGGCCTCCTCCTGGTTCCCCATGTCTTCTAAATTTATATTTCTTGCCTAGTGTATCCATTTATGTTGCAGCCCCTTCTCCAGATCCTGAATCCTTGCTGCAAACATTGCAGTAGGTACCTATTGTGGACATAGCCCTGAGCTGTAGGAGCTACAGTCAGGGCTCAATTAGCAGGGAGCTAGGCAGTGTTTTGTTTAGCTTAGCAACCGCCCATGCGTCCTGGAGGCCCATCAGGAAACCCCAGCACCATCACCGGAGGCCCCCATCCACACCCCCAGCCCGCAGTGGTGCTGGCAGCTGTGCACCTGGGCAATCGGGGTCTTAGGGCACCAGGACAAAGAGGGACAGGGGGTGCCATTGCCCCTGCAGCCTCAGCACCGGGAGCCATCTGGGTGTAGGAAAGGTGGTCTCCAGGGCTTGGGGCTGAGCGCCTGGAGACGCTCCTCTGCATGGGGAGCGCACTAGAGGCCCCCTGGGAGCACCTGGACAGATGGGAACCCCAAGATTCCCACCCTGCCCAGGCCTCCTCCTCCGGATCCTTGCAAGCAGGGGTGGATGAAGCCCCGAAGCCTGGCTCCTCATGGTATTGAGGTTCCAGAAACAGCGAGGACAGCATTTCCAAGTCTGGGCCATGAAGGTCGCCATGCAAGACCTCGGGTCTCTCTTTTCCAAAATCTTGAAGACCTCGACAGTGTCTCCAGCATCCCCGGCAGTCCCCTCCCCGGTTGTGTCCTCCAGCAAATCAGAAGGCACTGCCATTGCTGGGCCTGCTGACACAGAGTTGAGCATGGCCCCCACCCTGCCCCTCCTCCCCACCTTGGCACCCAACTCCCCCTGCACCTCACTGGGAGTGTCTGCCGCTCCCCATCCTCTGCTCATCACCTCCTACCCCAGGGTCTCCGTCACTGGCTGTGTGGCAGAAGCAGTAGGGACTCCCTTGTTCCTATCCAGTTGCTCCAGAGCAACCAAAGTCCAGTCCCTGCCCCAGGACCTGCCCCTGGCACCGTAGGGTGGTGGCTGCAGAGCCTAGAGCTCCCCTGTGTACCTGGGGATGGGGGCTACCACAAGCTCCGGCAGGATCTGGGCAGTGCTGCTGTGGATCAGGGGCACTTCAGGTAGCAGCAATTCAGCCTGGAGCCCACAGAACCCCCGCCAGCTTGGCCCCGGAGACCAACAGCTCAGCGCTTGGATGCCCCCCGGGCCTGGCCCCAAGACCCTCTTCTTCACTCTGCCGGGCATCCGCAAGGAGTGGGCCTCAGACAGCGACTCGGAGGAGGCCGGACGCGCGTGAGTAGCAGCAGGGGCCGGCCGTCTCTCCATGAGACCCCTACCCCTCCGTCTGCAGCAGCCACCTTGCTGGGCGTGCTTAGAGCACTGTGCTATTTGCAACGACTTCCACCAACTCCCCTGGCCAGCCTCCTTGCCCATTTCCTGGGTCCTAATTGTGTGCCTTTCTGTTCTTTTTAAACCAGCTGAGTCAGGCTTTTGCTCCACTCTCTCCGAGGTAACCCTCTGCTGTTCACCAGCCGGGCGGGAGTGGAGCTGAAGCGGGGCTTGAAGGGAAAGGGTACAATTTGGGTTCACTTCCCACTCAGCCTTGATGGGATATCTGACAGCCTGGTTTTCTCCAGGACTCTGAAGGGAGCTCAGATCCCAGCCTGTAATGCAGAATATGGCAGATGTGCAGGGCAGCTACAATTTTAAGAAATGATGCCTCCCTACTTTTCAAGGATCAGCCCCAATTCTTATCCCAAGTGGGAGGGGTTTTCTCTGTGCCACATCCGGTTAATTTACATATGTATGACATCATCTGACACCCAGGGCACTTGCAATGCCCAGGACACATCTGATGTCTACCTTAGAGCTCCTGAGGCTTTGCAAAGTGCCCTCAGGTTCCCCAGAAAAGCTGACAACGGTTTCACTGGGAACTGGAGGACATTTCCCTCAACACACACACACACACACACACACACACACACACACACACACCTTCTTTCATCACCATGAGCAGTAATAAAGTGGATGCAAAAATATTCAGCTATCTGAATCCTACAAGAGAATAGTGAAATGGTGAAAGGCAGACCACCAGGGCCCATTCCTGAATGGAGGTTTCTGCCTTATAATCTGGTGAAGGAAGAAGGGTCAGACCTGCTAGCAAAGAACCCTCCCTCACCCCAACCCTCACCATCCCTTACTCCTCCCACACACATCCACACTAACCTCCACCAAAAATAAATTAACTGGAGAACTTTTGCATTAAGACTGATTCTAACCCATTCACAATTTAAATAATTACATTTTTATAAAGCTGCATGACATTCACCTCAGTTCTAAAATAAGCAGTTAAATAAGTTTTTTCTTTTCATTTAAAATATTGCAGTATGAAATACATGAATCAACTGATTTTTTTTCTTAAGGAAAATAAATTGCATTTGGATAAGTGGCTAGGATACATATGGGTGAGTAATTAGACTTTTGTTATTGGCTACTGGTCCTTAACATTTATGCAATTAAAGTTTTATGAGCAAACAGATCTACACACTGATCTTGTGCCAGAAGCTAAGACCAACAAGTACCATATTAATGAGATATTCAGCAAGGCTGAAAATCAGCATAATATTGCCCTACTGTTGGCCAAATGGCTGAAGGCAATTCCCTAACCTGATAATCCTTTTACTGTTTACCAAACTTTACCTTTGATATGCCTGTTTGCATTTCTAAAGGGCAAATGTGTATTCAAGTGAAAAAAAGCAAAGGGGATCCAGAAGTCAGAGAGCCTCTGCACTAGAGACAGGTTTCCACCTGGGCCCCCATGCCTTCTAAATTCATATTTCTTCTCTAGTGTATTCATTTGTGTGCAGCCCTTTCTTCAGATCCTGAACCCGAGCCTCAAATGGATGCGGCATTCACAATCTTAAACTCTAGTCTTAGTGCTTTTTACAAAGAGGCCCTGAATCACATCAGTGTGACCAGTGAGAGAACTGGGGTCAATGTCTATAGTTGGGCATTTCAATCCCTTTTTGTATTATCTACACACTTTTAATAGATACTTTTAATACCACTGTATTTGGCATTACGGATAGAAGTGACTACTTTGCATTATCAAATGTATTGATTTTACTAAAAATGCAGACAATGAATGGTAGATAATTACTGTGAGAAGTAATATACACAGATATGTACATTCAAGAATTTTTCTGGTAATGAACTTGTACTCTCTGTAGGACATTAGCCAGCCCCCTGAGTACACCAGGTTTTTGTTTGTTTGTTTTTTTTTATTTACATGCACAAATAGCCATATTCCCCTTTCTTTCATACCTCATTCCTTTTTTAATTAGAAAGTATACAAACAGGGAATACTTTTGCATCTTGAAGTATATTTTTTCCCTTTTGGATTTCAGGGGTGGCTATTTATAAATTGAATAAACAAATATCATTCAATAATGGATTTAAATTATATTACTGACACCTTGCCTGCCAGTTTGCAGATAGTTGCAACTAATTATTAGCTTGCTTAATGTTGAAATGGTATATATTTAGTTTTCTAAAGCCCAGACACCTGGAGAGGGGAGGTGGTTAAAGTAGAGTTAGGTGCAT